CTACGGTTGATGATCGAAATCCTGCATGACCCAGAGCACCTGTAAGGGATATACCAGAATTCCCAGGGATATACCAGAATTCCCATAGTTTAGTGTCCTTAAGGTAATGCAGGATTTATATTTCAACCGTCTTAGTAAGGGTTCCTGGGAGGGTTCCGATGATATTGCCTTTTAACTTTCTCGGGTTCCAGTATACTAGACGAAAGGTGTTGCAAGACTTGTTTACTATTCCGAACGCGTCGCCTTTCTCGTCGGGTTCTTGCAGAAACACAAGAGGCAGAGCCTGCGTGAACTTTTCATACGAGGCTGCGCTCTAAGCCGAAGCTCAAAGCTTTAAATTGCAAACCGTAAACCTTTAATTAAACCCCACAAGCCTACTAGACCCCACAATTTACGGGGTTCTCCTGAAGACTTATCAAAACCTCCTAAACCCGAAACCCCAAGCCATAAAACCCTAAACCCAAAACCCGAAAACCTAAACCCCAAGCCCTAAACCCCAAACCCTAAACCGTGAAGATTGCGAGGCCTTCGTGGACGTGTCTTACCAAGTTGAGCTGCTTGGCAGCATCGCAACAGTTTCTCGGATTCTCGACATCACGGTTTAGGGTTTAGGGGTTTAGGATTTAGGAGTTTTGGGGTTTAGGGTTTAAGGGTTTGGGGTTGAGGGGTTTAGTGGTTTAGGGGCTTTGGGATTAGCGGATTAGGGGTTTAGGGTTTTGGGGGTTTAAGGGTTTAGGGTTCAGGGTTATGCTTGGACCTTAGCACTCAAGCTCCACACATGTCCAGCCCATGCAGCCTAAGCGTCAATTCCTACGCTTGAGGTTAGCAGCTTCCATTTGAACTTGTCCTGCCATGACCAAAGCAATATGGGGGAATAGGGGGCCCTAGTAGAATACCCTAAAAAGCAGGATCCTTATTATAAGGACCCCCAAAGTAAGGTACCCCTTAGTTTCGGAAGCTCCCATATTTGCATCGTTTTGATCCGGCGACTTTACCAGGCTCGACATCTTTTCAGTTGCGGCTTTTTTTGTTTAATTCTGTGTCTGATTTATAGGGATCTCCGAGAACAGCGGCTCAGAGCTTCGTGGGTTTATGCTGTTTGTCTCCCAACTCTAACTGTAAAGAAACCCAATTCCTGTATTCTGCAAGTCTACCATAGCGGTTTTTTGATAATTCATAGTGGTATGTTCTTAAGCTTCCTTATTACAACTAGGTTCGATAACATCCCCCAAAACCTCATTCTAATCATTAGAGGCCCTACGCCTCTCACTCACCGTCTTAACGCAAGAATCTGGCAAAGGTGTCCGGAATTATGTTGAGGTGAGCGTGATGTAGCCTAGCACAGCTTTGGTATACCTCCTTCCAGCGTCCTGTCATCCGGGTTGATACAGGCCGAACGCCACCGTGAATCCGGGCTTTTCGTCGCGCTGACTCCACAGCGAGTGGAAGAGACTGCGCTTGCGACGAGCAACCAGACACCTCCCTATCCTTGAATCATTTTCGAGATCAATTCTGTACTTATCATGGGACTTAGTAAGTAGGGTTATAACTAAGGTAACCATACTTATAACCCCAATTAAAGGACTTATAACCTTACTTGCTAAGTCCCATCATCCTTTAAGTAGTAATGTAATGAATACGAGCATGAGTACAACGTAGGGAGCATTCCTCAGCGGAGCCCTGACAACAGCCGCTATTTGTAATTAGCTGTAAGATCCTTTTGATGGAGGGCGCATTCGAGAGTTGTTAAAGCGTCTGAGTTTCAGATGTAGGGTCTAGGGTTTAGTAATTTAGGGGTTTAGAGGTTCAGGGTTTAGGGTTTAGAGGTTTAGAGGTTTAGGGTTTAGGGTTTAGGGCTAGGGCGGCTAGGGTTAGGATATACCGATGCAGCCCGATCTCGTCTTGAGGGTACGATGCAACATCTTATGTAATCCCATAAATCATAGATCGCACAGGGCAGCTGTTTTTGTGGTGGCCAGAGTGCGAGGGCTTGTTTACGTGTTTATCAGCTGCAACAAAGCTCCCTAAACCCTAAACCCTAAACCCTAAAACCCTAAACCCTAAACCGTCGGAATCCAAGTCTCTCGCGCACATAAGTGTTTTGCTGTGGTCTCTGGGGTCCATTGGGATTCCCTTCTATGCGTTTCCCAACTTAAGCAGAAATGCGTTTCGGGGATTCTGAAGTGTCTTTCCTTTAACAATATGTGCCATGTTGTTCGGGATTCTCGTGTTGCTTTGACTTCGGGTTTCGTTCTGGTGAACCGGTAAGCTTCAATCTAAACCCTGAATACTAAATAAACCCCTAAACCCTAAACCCTTAAACCCTAATCCCTAAAACCCTAAACCCTAAAATCCCTAAACCCTATCACTCGAAACCCTATAAACCCTAAACCCTAATCCCTAAAACCCTAAACCCTAAAAGCCCTAAAGCCCTAAGCCCTATGAGCCCTGAGAGCCCGCCCCGTGTCAGCCGTCGGCTCGGCTTTTCCTAAAGATGGCGTAGGCTCCCACATGTCCGGGCGGCTGGAGCCCTCAGACCAGTGTAGGTTACTTTTTGGGGGCGTTGGGCCTTTAGGGTTTAGGGTTTAGGGTTTAGGGTTTAGGGTTTAGGGTTTAGGGTTTGTCTTGGGGGCTTTTGTGGATTGGGGGTTTTATTGGGATTTTTTGTGGGGGGTTCTTCGGTTTTGTGGCTTTAGGGGCTTACTCTAAGGGCCGACGGTTTGGTTGCGTTTGTTTGGGTTGCGGAATGAAGGGTTTCTCGGGAGTGTTAGGCTGTCTGTTCAGGCTTTAGGGCTCCGGGTTTCATTCGAGCTCCCATTGTGCCTTTCATTGGGTTTTAGGGTTTAGGTTGTTGCAGACTGGGGCTTTGGCACTTTAGGAGTATCATATGCAACTGTCAAGCCCAGCAGCATGTTACACCCTAAACCCTAAACCCTAAACCCTAAACCCTGATGTCCTGGAACGCAGCACAAGCACGACAAAGGAAATCTAGATCCTAAATCTTCAACTTCAGTCTCTATAACTGGGGTAGTCGCTGGAACTCAGTGACAGACCCTGAATGCCAAACCCTAAGGTAGGGGCCTAGCAATAAATACCTATACTATTTTTGGGGGTTCCTTATTATAGCTATAGCATAATATACCCCCCAAAACCCTAATTAGTCTAATTACAAAGGCTCCTAAACCCTAAACCCTTATAGTAGCCCTGATAGACCCCTTTAAGGAACCCTTTAGAGGAACCCCTTAAACCCTAAACCCTAAACCCTAAACCCTAAACCCTTTAAAGGAGCCCTATTCTAAGTATTAAGGCCCCCTACATTGCTCGATGTGCTTGGTCCGCGCTGAGGGCTTTCTCGTAGTGCACAGGCTGGTCCTTCACGCCGAGTGCTTTAGTATAGGGGCCTTAGTAATTTTATTGGGGTTTTGGGGCCCAGTATACTGTAACTATGATAAGGAAACCCCCAAAATAGCGCTAAACCCTAAACCCTAAACCAAACCCTAAACCAAAAATCCTAAACCAAAAACCCTCAACCCTCAACCCTAAACCCTAAACCCCTAAACCCCTGAACCCTAAACCTCTAAACCCTAAACCCTAGGGTTTAGTGTTTAGGGATTCAACCCGCGAGCCTCAATTCGAAGCAGCCAAGATTATGCTGGCGCCGGGACCGGCCGGGATTGACTACAAGAACGAGCTAAACCAGTCGGAATCTCAGAGTGGATTCCTTTCATATAAAGGGGGTCTATAAGGGACCTTTAAGGGTTGGAGGTTTAGTGTGTTAAGGTTTAGGGTTTAGGGTTCAGGGTTCAGGGTTCAGGGTTTAAGGTTTAGGGTTCAGGGTTTAGGGTTTAGGGTTGGGGGTTTCTGGGGTTTAGGGCTCAGGGGTTTAGGCTGTAGGGTTTAGGGTGTGTTGTGCTTAGCGCTGAGGTCCGAATCCTTCTTGCCTGCTGCGGTAAAACGTTTGAGAGTATGGTATAGTATTTTATAGCATAGCACGGTTTAGGGTTTAGGGTTTAGGGTTTAGGGTTGCATAGCATAGCATAGCATAGCATAGCATAGCATAGCATAGCATAGCATAGCATAGCATAGCATAGCATAGCATAGCATAGCATAGCATAGCATAGCATGGCATAGTATAGCATAGCATAGCATAGCATAGCATAGCAACTATAGTATAGTAGAGTGGTCAACGTAAGCTTGCAGAACATTGGTTTTGGAGTCCAGGAGTTAGCAGAAGAGCGGCTAGCGATTTAGAGAGTATGCACTGTTGTAGGGCAAGCATAGAATAATACAGAAGCCTGAAAAATTACGAAGAGTCGTCCTCTCCTTTCTATAAGTAGACTATAAGGGAGCCCAAAACCCTATTCTAATGATTCAGGCCGCTACATGAGAGCCGTCAAAAGCGATTTCCCACGAGCCTAGACATCAACCTAAGCCCGACATCTCGGACATTTTCAGGTGGGTAGTTACCGTTATAGGAGCCTTATAGAAGGTCTATACACCTTATAGAAGCCTTATAGAAGCCACATATACCCTAAACTCCCCGCCTGCAGTTTCCTTTAACGAAACCTAAGCGCTAGACCGTTGCCGTCGAACCCTCCGGAACTTGACACGACCGGAGCCTGCGGGTTTTCAGCAGAACCCGGGCCCAAGCCGCAAGGCTCCTACGTCCTAGGGTTTAGGGTTTAGGGTTTAGGGTTTAGGGTTTAGGGTTTAGGGTTTAGGGTTTAGGTATGTAATGTAGACCCCGGATTCATAAACCCCCCAGCCCTCAACCCTAAACCCTTAAACCTTAAACCCTAGAACCTAAAACCCTAAGCCCTAAAACCTAAACCCTAAATCCTAAACCCTAAAATTTAAACCCTAAACCCTAAAACCCTAAACCCTAAACCTAAACCCTAAACCCTAAAATCTAAACCCTAAAACCCTAAACCCTAAACCCCAAACCCTAAACCCTAAACCCTTGGTAACGCTAAAGCCGTGGGCGGCTCTTCGTCAATTTTGCTACGGCCTGGAGCTCGGAGTTGCTCCTCCGGGTTTA